ATGAGAAATATAGTAAATGTATTCACCTGGTTCAACATCTGCAGGCTTCTCTTATGAAGGGTCTCTTCTGCCCTTTATGTTGTATAGAGTCTTAAACAAATATTGACTGTATTTGCATTTAAAATAGGAAAAACTGGCACAGCTGGAGTTCAAAGGATTTGACTGATGTGTGATAAGGTTTCCTGGAAGTCTTACTGGAATTCTAGGTGGAATAAGCATTTTCTATGGTCTCCCTAAAGTCATAAGTTGTTTAAAAAGTTTTTGAGCTTTGCAAAAGATCTTCTAGACCTATAGATTAGTGAAAGCTGAAATCTTTTTATCTAACAGAAATTTCACTGTTGTTGGAAAAAAATAGCAAATGTTTCAACCTGTTAATAGCAAATTATGAAAGATTGGTAGTTTATTTTTTTTTAAGAAAAATAATAAGTTTTAAAAACCTTTGATTATTTCATAGTATAGCTTTTTATTCTTTTAATGATATGACTAGGATTATTTTATTTAGTGTGCTGAAGTAAGTAACTTCTTCGGCTTCTGAAAGCAAATTTTCTATCTGCTTTTCTCTTATTAAAACGAAATTTCTGTTCTGTGTTTATATAGTATTCCTAAAACAACGTTTCTTAATTTTATGTTTGTTTATAATTTGTTAAATTTCTCCTGCATACTCAGGATTTGAAAAATAATTCTTTTGAGAATGATGCTAGCATATGTTAGAGAAGCTCTGTTTAACTGGAGAAACAAAATACTGACCCTTGATTGTCAGTAAAGAAGCTTAGTTAAATTTTTTTTTTGATTTAAGTTTTTGAAGGATTTTTTTTCTTCCAAGTGCATCTGTAGATAAGATATATATATGTTTTCTTTGATACACTGGTAAAATTATAACTGAATAATGAGCAGAATATGCAGTTTTTCTATTTTGTCCTCAGCAGTAGTTTAAAGTTTCAAATATAAACTTTGAACCATGGAGTCAGAAAATTTTGGAGCTAAAAAAGATTCTAAAATTAGAGTGTAGAGTCTTGATTTTTACAGATGATGAAACATTGGCCTGTGATTCATGCATGGAGCTAAGTAGAACCCCATACCAGTTGGATAGCCCTGAGAATCTTTAGTGGAATCAATCCCTGCCCCCGTTACAAATGTAGGGAGCAGTTTTTTAGTATTAGCCCAAATGAAGGCATAAAGTTTTCATCAAGGCTCTAAATAATAACTACCTAAGAATAGTTCTTTTCTGGAGAAAATTTACTTCCAAGAAAACAAATGACCTCTCAAAATTCATCTTAATGAAAGGACAAACATAAAGTCAAATACAGTTTTACAGAAACTTTAGTCTCAGTCACCTGCAAAATATTCCATTGCAAGCTAACATTCTACTGAAAAGCTGAAGTTGTGTGTATAAGTTGAACAGTGCCTTGGATCTCAAGGGGCAGTTATTTTGGGTTTTCAAAGAGATACTGTGTTACCTCGTTTCAGTGGCGTGTGATCTGCTGGCAAATGAGCACGATACAGGGAAACGTCATAATGGTTTTATAACTATGTATAATGTGTATATTTCTCTTAAACACATTAAGAGCTGCTGCTACCATATTTTGAGGCAAAACAATCAAGATAAAATAAAGCTGATTTTTGTGAATTGTTTTAAAACTTTCTGTTGATCTTGTATTTTACAAAAATTGTTTTTCTTAATCTTTTTCTTTGGTCTTTTAAATGCTTATTTATCTTCAAAACGACTTTGTATTTGTAATAATTATTGTGGGGTAGAAGTCATGTAAGGATCCCTGGTGGTGCAGTGGTTAAGCACTCGACTGCTAACTGAACCCACCCAGCTGCTCCACAGGAGAAAAGACTTGTCAGTCTGCTCTCCTAAAGATTACAGCCTAGGAAACAGTTCTGCTCTGTCATATAGGGCCACTATGAGTCGGAAATGACTTGATGGCACATAACAATAGCAACAGAAGTCATATAATTTAAGTTTAAAAGGAGTGTCAGAATTCTCAGATTTTTGTTTTTGTTTTTTAACTTTTGACACTGATAGTAAATAATTAGTGACAGCTGGTATTGAAAATATTTTCATTAATTCTGTGTCCTAAGCATAATCTTAATTCCATGTAAAGCAATTAATTGTAGGACCTTTTTTTTGGACAGAAAAGGAGCAAAATGTTAGGGAGGCTCACTTTTCTAAGTTAGTGCACACTCAGGCAAGTGTGCAGGGCGTGTACGTCCTCATGGAGCGCTGAAACTCCCTCTTCTGGTCACTCTGTGAAAAATGTCTACAAATGTGTTCAGATGCCTGTGAGCCCTGAGGGTGTATGTGCCCTTCTAGCTCCCTGCTGCTGTGTTGTGCTTGCTGGTAATGCTAGATTACCAATTATGAAATCAGTTGATGTTAAACTGTCTCTTCTTGGCACCATAGAAAACTGATGATGTGGTTTCTAATAGAACAAAAGCATACTCTTAATACAGTTTCTCTTATTAAAACCAAAAAAAGAAGTCTTTTAACAGTTTCACAGTTTAAGATTTACTTAAATTAAGCTGTATGAATAATTTAGTATTCAAATTAAAGTTGTAGGAACACCAGTTTTGGGGAGATGACTTTTTCTGAGGATATACTTAATGACAATTGTGTTATTTGTAAGAATGGTATATAGTGTACTTTTAGGAAACAGGTATTTTTCTTCTTAATCACAAATTTATAGTCAGGAAGCCCTCAAGAGTAACGTAACATTTTAAATTAAGGCATTCTCTTCTTGCATTTTTTAGTATAAATTTTTATATGAAATTTTAGTGTGATGCTAAGTCTGGGCCCTTTTATATTTCCTTTTAAAGTGTGTCATAAATTTATTATCTTCATATTTTCCTGAATTCCACAATTAGTGGCAAGGAAGACGGAATAGGCTTCAGAGGAAAATGTCATATAAATCATTAAAGCTTCCATACACTCCTTCCTGTTTACAGACGAAGTTATGAAAATATCATTTCTTTACTGTTTATATCTTCTTACTCTCCATCACATATCATTTATTTTGTTGTGTTTTAACATATTGAATTATACAAATCTTCTTACCTTAGATGCAGTGTTTTACAAAGTAGAAATGAATGTGAAGCATTTAGCACAGTACTGAAACATAGTAAGTCTTTAATAAAATTCTCTTCCACTAAAAGTTCTGTTCCGACTATTTAATTTGTTTTTGTAAAACTTACCTGATAGACTTAGTCGTGAAAATACAGGAGACGGTGTGCACTGTGCCAAGTGCAGTGGTCTGTGATGGAGGGAGCCCAGGCAGTCAGCCCCTCTGTGAGGTCTCCTCGGATCCGCTAGCGCCAGTCATGTTACCTGTCACATCACCCCATCATGTCACCCCTTCATGTCACCCTCTAAAATCTGCAGTGCACATGTTACTATGCTTTTATCATTTATTATTTATTGGTTTATTTTCTGCCTCTACAACCAGAATGCAAACACCATATTCATCACTTTATCTCCAGGGCCTATAATTCCTGGCACATAGGAGGTACTCCATGAATACTTGTTAAATATTACTGAATAGCTAGCATTAGCGATGGCATAAAATTATTATTTTAATTACATAAATGTGTTTTATCTTTCGCACCTGAAAATAAATCCATAAGCTTTTGAATATAGACATAAAATATAAAATAAGGAATAGAATTCTCATTGAATAATTTAGTATCATTCATTCAGTATATATTGAGAGAGTTATTTGTGAAAGGTCCAGTGAATATGGGGAATTCAGAGATATAATATTCAGTCCTTATCCCCAAGAAGGTAACTGTCTGCTTTGAAGGTAGACATATACTTAGGAGTTAATTAACAATATAAGGTAGACTGTAAAGGTACATAAATTATGTACATTAAAACTGCTGCAAGAAGGGAAAGAAGAAAGATAACACTTTGAGCTGGTACTTCATGGAATAGCTGTAATTCAAACCAGGTCTTTAAGGATAAGGGTTTAAATGGATGGAGAGGAAGATGAGTGAGGCCTTTCAGGTGGAAAGGATAAGAAAAAGTCAGGAAAATGTAATGTATATTTTTGTTGGGAGAATATTTAAGGGCCTTAAGCATAGTAAATATGCTGTAAATGTTTGTTGAATTCAGTTTATTTTGAAGATGTTTGAATGCTCTGCTAGAGCTTGGAATGGTGTTTACAGGTGCCTCATAGACTGACAAGGCAAACTTCTACCACTGAAAGCTACCTTCCTTACTACTTCCCTTAGCAACGTGGGATTCCATTCCTATTAGCTCTTGAGATCCATTTAAGGAAAAATGTTTCCTGTTCTCAGGAAGATTTGAATTGGAAAGCACTGGTGTAGACTTTCTTCTGAGGGTTTTCTGGAAGGCTTCTGGGAAGAGAACAAAGCAAGCAGTGTTTTAGTGAGATTAATCCAGGACACTGAAGAGGATTTCTTGACCTTAGTGAAATGTTAGCTTCTGAAGCATTACCTGTGTGAGATAAAAAGGACCCAAACTATGTTGATGGCATTGGAAATAGAAGCAGAGAATCAAAATCCCACATCCAAAGGTAGAACCCATGGGATTTGGGGATTCAAAAATGGGAAGGGAGGTGTTTAAGGAGAAGTCAGAGAAGGTTTGTGCAGGATTAAAAGTAGAAGAGTCAGAACTCTGACCTTCTGTTCAAGTGCCAACAAGTTGTTTTCCAAAAACTGATTTCTTCTCCTGATATTTTATGTTTATGGCAAAACCCCACCAATTTGCTGAAGGTGCCTTCATAAAGTGCACATAAGCTCCACCACATGGTTTGTCACACCTCTGTATTAAGCCAAAGTAATGAATGAATCCTCCAAACCTGTCATAGTGGGAATGACTTTTCAAAGCTATTTAGAGAAAATACCTTTGATTTTTGCTTTGTAAATGTTACATTTAAGAGTGGAGCAATTGAGCGAGAAGTAACCTCGTAGAAGTAGTCCATCAAATCAACTAGGTAAAAATAAACATAATGCATACAAGCATCACCTTTCTTTTCCAGGTGGCCCAGGTCTGCACAGCCCCATGTTGGATCTTGATAATGATGTGCGCCCCTCAGTGTTGGGTCATCTTAGTCAGACAGCATCACTCAAGAGGGGCAGCAGCTTTCAGTCTGGTCGAGATGACAGTAAGTATCCACCACCCCTAGTTCCTGCTCCTCATGTTGTCTTTTAAGTTTGTGCTCTTGTGTAATTTTAAACTTTCTTAAGTAGCTAGTGGTGTTACTGCTACTAAGCATCACTAGCTGTCATCTCTTGTGTTTATTAACTACTTGGTAATTTAAATAAAATGCGTATTACATTTTACATTAAAGAAATGTCGTTTGATCTTTTTATAAGTCATTGGGCACAGTGTTTATTCATCTTATTTAATAAGTCCATTATTTTTTGTGGTTGAATTTTTAAAAATATACCACATAAAAAATTCTGTGAGAATCTTTTTTAAGATGAAATTTGCAACAAAAATAATTTATATAGTCAGTACAGAGAAATGGACACCTTTTTCATGAATTTTAAAATTTGGTTTGGAAGGAAGAGTTGGTTGTTAATTAACTAAATTAATTGTTAACCATTTTTTTCCCTGAGATAATACATCTCAAATTGTAACAGGTTGCGTTTCTTAACTTTTTAAAGTTGGTATTTACCTGTTGGCTATTAACCGAAATGAAATATGTGTTAGTTTTAATACATTCATGCATCAAATTAAATGCTATTAAACACTGGTTGTTTATGACCACAATAACAGATATAAAAAATTCAAATAAGGTAATAGAGATACGTTAATTTATCTTAAAATTAATACCTCTAGAGTTTACTTTAAAATACTTTGTTAGTCTTATAAGTGTTGAAGTAGGGAATTTTTCTAAGGTTTCATGAATAAATGTGAAAGTCCCTCATAAGAACACCTTAAAATCAGATGATTCATTTGCAGTAAATAAAGGACTTCCATACTGTCACTTTTCCTTCTTCTTGTCCTGTTCTCATTTCCCATCCAGTCCACCAAGCACTGGTATAAACAATGAAGGACCAAAATGCTTTGTTTCTTCATTCTGTGGTACGGTGTCTAACATGGACCCCTGCAGCAAACGTAGCATGGATCTGACTCTGGAGTTCAGCCTGCCTCAGTTTTATAAAACATTGTTGTTCCTTAATTAGTAGGAATAAATCAGATCTAATCTGCCCTTGTCTAATTAACTACCACCAGTTGTCAAGGTAACAGAATTTGATCAATTAGAAATTATACTTGTAGCTGACTGTAATGAATTGTATCATCTTGAACAGTTCATATTTATCCTGCCTGGGTTTTGTCAAGCTTTTTGGATCTATTAATTTATAATTTTCATCAGATTTGGAAATTTTTCAGCCATGATTTTCTCAAACATGTTTTCTGCTCCCTTACCTTTTTCTGAGACTCCAATTGCATGTATGTTGGCTATCTAGCTGTTGTCAAACACATCACTGAAGTTCTGTTCTTTTATTCTCCCCATCTTTTTTTTCCAGATATTGTATTTTTCATCTCTAGAAGTTCCTTCTTTCTTTTCTGATTATTTTCATGTTCTTTTAAATATTTAAGTGTAGTTTTAATAGCTTTTTTAATGTCCTTGTATGTCAATCCCATCATCTCTGTTATTTCTGCATCTATTTCTACTGATCGACTTTTCTCCTGATTTCTGGTTATGGTTCATTCATATTTCTCTGCTTTTTGGCATGTATAATAATTTTTTTTTTAATTGCATCTTGGACATTGTTTATGTTACAGTGTTGAATATCTGGATTTGTATTCTTTAAAGAGTGCTGGGCTTTGTTTTAGCAGGCCGTTAAGTTACTTGCTTAGTAGTTTGATTTCTTCAAGACTATTGTTAAGCTTTGCTAGAGCAGGTCTAGAGGAGCCTTCTTCAGCCCTACTACCGAGTCGTGACTCCTTGGGTCTCTACTGAATGCCCCAAGTAATTGATGAGGACTATTCAGTCTAGTTGCTGAAACCTAGAAATGTCTTGCTGCCCTGTGTGATCTCTGGGAATTGTTTAGCTTACAATTCCCTGATCGTTCTTTGCCTATCTTTATGAAGCTTCACTCTACATATACATGGCCTAGTTCTCAGCACAAGGAGCCCTGTTGGCGCAGTGGTTAAAGCATTCAATAGCTAACTGAAAGGTTGGTGGTTCGAGCACGCTAGCCACTCCGTGGGAGAAAGATGGAGCAGTCTGCTTCCTTAAAGATTTACAGCCTTGGAAACCCTATGGGGCAGTTCTGTCTGTCCTTTAGGGTCGCTATCAGTCATAATCGACTCGATGGCAGTGGAATTGGTTTGGGTTTAGTACTCAGCAAAAACTTAAGAACGCTATGCAGATTTCTGAAGCTTTATTTCCATACATTTTGTTGTTCCATGTTGTTCCCTACATTTTTTCCCAGTTTTTCAGTTGTTTATGGCTGGAGGTTAAATCCAATTCCTGTTCCTTCATCATGGCTAGAAGTAGAAGTCAAATAATTCAAATTTAATTTCCCTTGAAATTAAATGTTATAGATTGCTTACAGTAAACAATAGGTATAAAGTTGAAGAAGCACATTCTTGATTTTTTTGACCAAAGCAAAATTTATGAGCCTACATACTTTGAACTTTCTATTGAAAAAATTGGATACCCCTGCCATATCCCCTTGATTGCTTTCATCAGTCTTAGATAATAACTTCAGAAGTTATTTTGTCAGTGATATAGCATGTGGGAATTTAACTAGGACATGTTGGATTCAATAAGAAAAGAAAATCCTAATTGATTTTTCAGTTATAATGATCAGAATTTCGATGAAGTAGACTCAGAAAAAATGTCACATACATACGTACATTGTTTTTGTTGTTAGTTGCCATCAAGTCGATTTTGACTCATGATGACCCCGTGTGTGCAGATTAGAACTGCTCCATCAGATTTTCAAGGCTGTGACCTTTCGGAAGCAGATCTCCTGGCTTATCTTCCAAGACACCTGTGAGTGGGTTAGAACTGCCAACCTTTCAGTTAGCAGTTGAGCGTTTAACCCTTTACGCCACCCAGGGACTCCTTAGAATACGTACATACATACATACATGTATACAAACAAAATAATTTGCAAGCAAGAAAAAAGTCAAATAATACATAAGACCAAGAAATGTTTTCTCTTATTGGGCAGGATGTCTCAGGAACCTTAGCTGTTTTCCAGGAAGAACTTGGATGATTAAGGATCAGCACATTTTAGTAATTACTCAACGTCCCACTCATTATAATCTGACCGCACTATTTAATAACTGTATTAGCATTTCATACTGTAGTGAACTCAGGCAAAATAATTTTACCAATCTGCTATCTTAGTCACCTAGGGCTACTGTAAGAAATTTCACACACTGGGGGGATGGGGGGAGGCACTTATGAGAACAGAAATGTATTGTCTCACAGTTCTGGAGGCTGGGAGTCCAAGATCAGGGCATTTGCCTTGTTGATCTCTTCTGAGGCTTTGAGGGAGAATCTGTTCCATGCCTCTCTCCTCGCCTCTGGTAGCTCCAGGTGTTTCTTGGCTAACAGCTGAAGCATCATGTGTCATTCTTCCTATGTTACTGTATCTGTTCTCTTTTATAAGAACAACAGTCAGTAGGATTAGGACCCAGTCCCTAGGTGGTATAAACAGTTAATGCATGTTGCTGCTAACCAAAAGGTTGGAGGTTTGAGTCTACCAAGAGGACCTTAGAAGAAAGTCCTGGTGATCTGCTTACAGAAAAGTCAGCCATTGGAAACTCTGTGGAGCACGGTTCTACCCTGACACACATGGGGTTGCCATCATTTGGTCTCGGTGGTGACTGGTACTCCATTATGACCTCATGTTAACCTAACTGATAATGTCTTCAAAAACTTTTTTCAATCAGGGTCACATTCACAGGTACAGGAGTTAGGACTTCAACATAACCTTTTTGGAGGACACAGTTCAACCCATAACATTTGCCATAAAAAAGGTTTGCCAAGGAAATCTTTTTGGAAGTCTTTTGGAATTGGTTTCCTATGTTTGTCTAAATTCTTTTCCTATTATAAAATCATTTCAATTAGAATACTAAGTTAACAAGAGGGAAGCTAAGTTTATATTCTGATTGTGTTTTTTTAAAATAGATTTTTCTTTTAAATTGTGAAAAGGCAGTGTTCCCTATTTTTCTTTGGAGGGGAGGGGCACAGAAATTCTCTATGACAGACTAATGCTTGAGGCCAAGTGGTATGTGTGTATCTTTAGGATATAAGAGTATGTAGTGACCCAGGCCAGACCACACAAAGAGCTGGTCCAGGTTCAAAATCCAACCAAGACTGGAGTTCAGCTTAAGTTGTTTTCACTTTAATTTCCCAGCAAAGAAGACAGATGGATTTATCATGGTAAACAAAACAAAACAAAACGAAACCCTTTGCCGTCTTGTCAACTCTGACCCATGGCGACCCTATAGGACAGAGTAGAAATGCCCCATAGGGTTTCTAAGGCTGTAAATCTTTAAGGAAGCAGACCGCCCCATCTTTCTTCCACGGAGTGGCTGGTGTGTTTGAACCACTAACCCTTTGGTTAGCAGCCGAGCGCTTTAACCACTGCACAACCCGGGCTCTTTTTTCTCACAGTAGGGTTGTACAAAACAATTGTCAGCATAACAATATAGTAGCAGGGAGGAGCCCAGATCTTTTGAAAAACATTATTCTTGGGGAACATATTATTTAAGGGTCTGTTTGCTACCCTATAAGCTTTTAAATGTTCTTGTTCTATTTCTGACCTTGTCATTGGGCCCATGACATTCCTGGTCATGGCTTAAGCTATGGAACATGCTGCTGCCATTTTGAAACAGCTAGTCTTTATTAACGACTGTTGGGGAAACCCCTTTATTATAGCTCTGTCTCAGATGAAATATACTTCCTATCTCATTAGACTCATCTCACATCACTTTGTTTCATTGACTGTCGTCTTTGTTAGACTATAAGCTCTGTGAAGACGGAGGCTTACCTTGTTCAACTTTGTTGTTGTTAGGTGCTATCTAGTCAGTTCTGACTCACAGTGACCCTATGAACAACAAAATGAAAACACTGCCAGGTCCTGCTCCATCCTCTCAGTCATTGTGGTTTGAGCCTATTGTTGCAGCCACTGTATCAGTCCGTCTTGTTGAGGGTCTTCCTCTTTTTTGCTGACCCTCTACTTTACCAAACATGATGTCTTTCTCTGGGCACTGGTCCCTCCTGATAACATGTCCGAAGTATGTGAGGTGAAGTCTTGCCATCCTCACTTCTAAGGAGCATTCTGGCTGTACATCTTCCAAGACAGATTTATTCATCCTTCTGGCAATTCCATGGTATATTCCGTGTTCTTTGCCAGTACCGTAATTCAGAGGCATCAGTTCTTTTTCTATCTTCCTTATTCATTGTCCAGCTTTCCCATGTATATGAAGCGATTGAAAACACCATGGCTTGGGTCAGGTGCACTTTACTCCTCTAAGTGACATCTTTGCTTTTGAACAGTATAAAGAGGTCTTTTGCAGCACATTTGCCCAGTGCAATGCACTGTTTGATTTCATAACTGCTGCTTCCTTGAGGGTTGATTGTGGATCCAAGTAAAATGAAATCCTTGACAACTTCAGTCTTTTCTCCATTCATCATGATGTTGCTTATTGGTGCAGTTGTAAGGATTTTTGTTTTATGTTGAGATGCAATCCATACTGAAGGCTGTGGTCTCTTTGACTTTCATCTTCATTAGTAGGTCCTCTTCACTTTCAGCAAGAAAGGTTGTGTCATCTGCATATCACAAGTTGTTAATGAGTTTTCCTCCAATCCTGATGCCGCGTTATTCTTCATATAGCCCAGTGTCTCAGATTATTTGCTCAGCATACAGATTGAGTAAGTATGGTGAAAGGACCCAACCCCGCCGCACACCTTCTTGATTTTCACCCACACAGTATCCTCTTGTTCTGTTCTAACCGTTGTTTCTTGGTCTATGTACAGGTTCCTCATGAGCATGATTAAGTGTTCTGGAATTCCCATTCTTCACGATGTTATTCATAATTTGTTATGATCCACACAGTTGGATGCCTTTTCGTAGTCAATAAAACACAGATAAACATCTTTCTGGTATTCTCTGCTTTCAGCTAAGATCCATGTGACTCAACATTGATAACCCTCATTCCAGTCCTCTTCTGAATCCGACTTGAATTTCTGGCAGTTCCTTTTCAATATACTGCTACAACTGTTTTTGAATGATCTTCAGAATTTTACTTTTGTGTGTGATATTAATGATATTGTTTGATAATTCCTGCATTTTGTTGGATCACCTTTCTTTGGAATGGGCACAAATACGGCTCTTTTCCAGTCGGTTGGCCAGGTAACTGTCTTCCAAATTTCTTGGCATAGTGTTGTATCCGTTTGTTGAAACATCTCAACTGGTATTCTGTCAATTCCTGGAGGCTTTTCTTTCTTTCACCAATGCCTTCAGTGGAGCTTAGACGCCTTCCTTCAGTACCATCATTTCTTGATCATATGCTACCTCTTGAAATGGTTGAATGTTGACAGTTCTTTTTTGGTACAGTGATTCTGTGTATTTCTTCCATCTTCTTTTGATGATCCTGCATCATTCAGTATTTGTCCATAGAATTCTTCGGTATTTCAACTTAAGGCTTGAATTTTTTCTTCAGTTCTTTAAGGTTGAGAAATGCCGAGCATGTTCTTCACTCTTGGTTTTCTAACTCGAGGTCTTTGCACATTTCATTATAATACTTTACTTTGTCTTCTCGAGCCGCCCTTTGAAGTCTTCTGTTCAACTCTTTCACTTGATTTCTTCCATTCGCTTAACTGCTCTGCATTCTAGGACGAGTTTCATAGTCTCTTCTGACATCCATTTTTGTCTTGTCTTTTCTTTCCTGTCTTTTAATGACCTTTTGCTTTCTTCATGTGTGATGTTCTTGATGTCATCCCACAACTTGACTGGTCTTCAGTAATTAGTGGTCAGTGCATCAAATCTATTCTTGAGATGGTCTCTAAATTCAGGTGGAATATACTCGAGGTCGTACTTTGGCTCTTGTGGACGTCTTTTAATTTTCTGTGGCTTCAACTTGAATTTGCATATGAGCAATTAATGGTCTGTTCCGCAGTCGGCCCCTGGCCTTTTTCTGACTAATTCAGTGTTAGTGGTGAACAAAATAGATCTTGGAGTTTAGCGAAATGCTTTGCACATAGTTGATACTCAACAAATATTGGTTGAATGAACAAAATCAAATTTACAATGTGCATTTCAGTAGAAAAAATCATTCTTTCAACACGTGAAAGCTAAATTTTAAAACTTTTGCCACAACTCATATCATATACAAAGGACTAATATCACTAATGAAGAGGCTCTACTCGTTGCCCGCTAGTCAATTCCAGCTCATGGCAATCCCATATGTTACAGAGTAGAACTGCTCTATAGGATTTTCTTGGTTGTAATCTTTGTGGAAGTAGATTGTCGGGACTTTCTTTTGTGGCATCACTGGGTGGGTTTGAACAGCTAACCTTTAAGTTAGTAGTCCCGTGCAAACCATTTATGCCACGGGGACCTAAAGAGGTTCTACAGGCTACAAAAAGAAAGTCTGAATGGCTCTTTATCATATGAACAGATGCTCAACGTCACTCATAAAAGAAAGGGGGGCGGGCAGGGGGAGCAATGTAACACTTCCAGGAGATACCAGATTGGCAAAAACCCAAAGGGGTGAATATTTTGTTTTAGTATTTGGTTTGGTCATTCATGAAGTTATAAGTAAGCAGGTACTTCCACATATTGCTGGTGGGGACATAAATAACCCCAATGGATGACAATTTAATAATATCTACCAAAGCTACAGCTACAGATGCTCTTTGACCCAGCGATTCCTGTTCTGGAAGTTTATTCTACACCTGCACTTACACTAGCGCTAAACAGAATGCAAGTACAAAATTATTCACTGAAGCATAAGTTGTAACTCCAAAAGTTGGGAACAGTCTTGCTCATTAGAAGGAGACTTGTTAAGTTATGATACATACAAACTATGAAATACTGTGTAACTGTGGGGAGAAAAGGAGGAGGAGCTTTATGTATGAATGTGGAGAGAACTCCAGGATGCATTGTTAAATGAGAAAATCCAAGGGTCAAAAGAGTGTGTTTAGAATGCATTTGTGTAAAAAATAAAAAAAAAAATTAGAAAAACAGGCAGAAGGAACAGTTGGGAGAGGGAGAATATACACTCACGTTTGTGCATGTGAAGTGTCCATGAGTTGGAACATCTCGATGGCAGTGAGTTTTTGTTTTTTGGTACACATATGAAACACTTCAGAAAGAATCGCAAGAAACTAGTAACTGGTTTCTTCTGGCTGAGGGTGGAAACTTTGCAAATGGGGGTGGGGGTGTATACCTATTTAATTTTATTATTTAGCAAAGTACTGCATATTCAGAAAAATTAAATACTTAAAAATAAAGTCCACTCATTCCCCCACTGGAATAACAACAGCAAAACTTTTTTCCTAGGGAAATTGATGGTTAAGATGAAGGAGTTAATGAAAGTACCCCTCCCTTCACCTGACATTTGCCTAATCTGAGGCTGACCTGTCTTTGAAGTTGCTGACTATCAGATAGAACTTAACCCTTAAAACATTCTTGATTATTGCTGTGACATTGGTTCAGTGATCCACCTGAGATACAGTAGGGACAGTGCTGCAGTTTTCATACTCTTGTCTCAGAAGCAGAACAGCAAGGGGACCAGGAAACAGCATGGAGGGAAGTGAGGGTTCCAATAGAGAGGAAACAGGAAGAAAGTGCAGAAGATGATAATCACTGGGTAAAGAAAGAAGAAATTAGAAAACATGAATGGTCACTAAATTAGTACATTTGTTTTTACTGCCACAAACTTATTCTTCCAATAAGAAAACTGTAATTCCTTATTTTCTAGTTACTATAATAACTGTATTAAGTAATATGTAACCCACGAGGCATCAGTGTTTTTATTTTTTCTTAAATTTCTTTGCAGCAAGAGGAGTTCTTCATGATGTGGTTGAAGTTGAGTATATTCCTTTATGACAACTTGATTTCTTATTGAGTTTTCACCACTAGAATGTGTAATGGGGTTTCTAACAGATTGATTAAAAAGCTCATTGCCGTCATGTCGATTCTGACTCATACCGACTCTATAGGACAGTAGAAAACTGCCCCATAGGACTTCCAAGGCTGTAATCTTTATGGAGGCAGACAGCCACATCTTTCTGCCTCGGAGCAGCTGGTGGGTTTGAACCACTGACCTTTCAATTGGCCACTGAGCACTTAACCACTGGGCCACAAGGTCTTCTAACAGGTTGATATTAGCCTCGAATTTAGTTACTGGCAACGGGGCAGCCTCTGCCTTTGCCTTATTTTGCTGTTTGAAGGCGTGACTTTCTGAAGAGGACTGTGAAGTCCTAAGGACAACCAGGTGAAGAACTAAAGCTGCCTCCTTTGAGACACCCTCTCTGCTTCTGATGCTCTGCTGGCCTGGTCTCTCTGCCGTGGCCACTTCCCCTGTAGTCAGCATGGTGCTGAAATAAGGTCTGTCCTCATCAGAAGGGAAAATAAAAGACAGGCTGGAGACCCCTGGCTTATGGTATTCTCACAGGGGTTGGGTGCTGGAAGGCGTCAGGAGTATGGTGTGAAAAGAAAATATTTTTGTATCGGCAGAGTAAAACCATGCAGCTAAGTGGTACACCCCTTGTTTCCACACACATTTTGGCTATTTTTAGTGTGTATTTTATTTTTAGACAGTATAGCAGCGGTCTGTTCAAATAGATCTTTATTCTTGATTCACAAATATATTCATAGATTTTTTTTTCCCCCTTAGCATGGAGATACAAAACTCCCCACCGGGTGGCGTTTGTTGAAAAACTGACCAAGCTAGTTTTAAGTCAGCTGCCTAACTTCTGGAAGCTCTGGATTTCATATGTGAATGGAAGCCTTTTCAGTGAGGTATGTACAGGAATTTGACTATCGATGGAACTAAGTCCTTGTGAATTTTTAGAATTAAAAATTTTCAATTTTGAAGTGATTTTAAAAGCCTTTTGTAACCATTGGCCGGCATTGTAAGATTAATTAAGAGCACTTATAAAGCCCTAGCACTTAATAGCTGTATGACCTTGAACAAGTTATTTAATTGTTCTGTGACTCAGTTTCCTCACCTGTAAAAAGAGAATAGTACTAGCATCTATCCCAAAAGGTAGTTGTGAGGATTAAATGAGATAGTAAAAGAAAAAAAGAGAACTTGAAATATTTTCAAGGGTTTAGAGTTGAGTATCATGCCAGTTAGGCCAAATCATGTATGAACTTGTGCAATGAACAAATTATAAAACAAGGATAAAGTGTTTGTACCTTGCATGTGGGTCCAAAATAATCCATGTAATTGTGGGGTTTCCTATCTGAAAAGAATTTAAATGTCACGAAACCTAGTCATGTTATGATCAGCCTGCAAAACGTTTTACAAGGCTTTAAATTTTCATGAGTTTTACATTTACTTAGTGTCTTATTCATAATATAATTGGTAGTATAGAGAATGTGAACATAAAGAAATGACTGACTATTCTTTGTAACATACGGAAATCAGACTTCATCACTTTATAACCTCACTCAAAGTGCTCCATGAAAGGCTCCCCGCGACCTGGAATGTTGATTATAACACAGTTTTCCCAGAGCTGCTAAGGAGGCCCCGACCTGTAAGATTAAGATGTCCAGCTCTAGTTCGAGGCATCCATGGGAGAGCTCTTCGCAGCCCTGGGAGGTGTTGGAGATTGAACGATCTCCCTGAGGTTAAAGGCTGTTCACTGCTTCTTTCGGACTTGTCAGTGCAGAAGGTCGATGTGGACAAGGGCTACAACCATTTTTGCTTTTTTTGTGTTAGGACACAACTTTCATGGTTCAAGACCTTTCCTCCCCTGCAGAGAAGAGTGGTCAGTGTCAGTGCTGCAGGGATTTGTCTAGTCCAGCTTGTCCATGGACATGTAGAAACGCTAGTATTAAAGAAACAGAGTTGTTCTCTGGAGGCTTTTTTCCCTCTTTGACTATTTAAATTCTTACTTTCCCACTGTCTTTTCTTTTAAACCTGCTAGATCCCTGGATCTTAGTGTATGTGAATGGTTACTAACCCAAACCATAAGATTAACTTAACATTACTCTTTAATGATGAAAACAGTAGTCCCCAATCTCTTAAGCATGACTTATCAATGTATTTTTCCTTCCTTTAATTGAACTTTGTTAGTTTACTTTATAAGTGAATATCCAAATATTAAATTATAGCAATAAATAATATATGTAACAACTTTCTTATCTTCCTTTTGTATCACTTGGTTATGTAAAAGCTCTATTGAGAAGATAACTCTACAGAGAAAGTCCTTTTTTGTCAAAAAGTGAATGTAGAGTTTGGCTGGTCTTCATTAGTACAAAGTAGCTTATTGCTGGCTTAGAAAAACAGTGCTTTAATTTCAGCTTTGCAGCTGTCCTGAAAAGTTTTCTTCATGCTCTGCTTTCTGCATGTCACATATCACTCTGAATTTTCCTTCATCTTAGCTCCTTGAGAGTTGTGTGGTTCAGTGTGCTGAACACGGGCCTTGGATTTCTTCCTCTGCCAAGCGGTGACAGTTGCACTGCTGTGTTAATGACTTCCTTTCCTTATCGTCTCCATCTGCAACCAGACTGTTCATGAGGATAAGGAAGGCTGGGTGCTTCCATATCAGTGCCAAGGGGCAGAATGGCCACAGCCTTCTTATAGAATGCTAGTGCTGTCCGATACAGATCACTTACTAGTTTTGACTCACTTCTTTGTGCTACTTCCATAGGGCTGGCTGTGAGGATTAGATGAGTTAACATAAATGAAGTGCTTAGAGCAGTATCTGGCAGATACGTGAGTTGGCTCTTATTTTTTAGAATAAATATTTATTCTAGTATTTGAAATCTCATCTCCCTGGCACAGAGTAAGTGTTCAGTGAACATTTGTTTAATAGCATTAAAACATAACTGACTGATGAGAATAGTGCTGAGTAATGCCAAGGTGGGCTAACTCATCTAAAGGATTGGTCCCTTAGGAAATGGATTTTATAACCAGTGACTGTTGGTTTCCATTGAGTGTTTCCTCCCAATCTCATCAGCTCCTATAGTGGTCCACCATATGTGCACAGTAGTTAGCTTATTTTGAGTCCCTTTAGAGTTTCTAAAATCCCTAAGAGTTTCGGATTTGGGATATTTTAGTGCAGTGGGAATGTATTTTTCTTGCTAAGGGCATACCTAATTTTAGTAAAAATATAAATGAAATATTTGGTTAAAAAAAACTCCAAACCAAACCCATTCTGTCGAGTCAATTCAGACTCACAGCGACTCTATAGGACAGAGTAGAACTGCCCCATAGGGTTTTCAAGGAGCGACTGGCGGATTTACACTGCCGAACTTTCGGTTAGCAGCCGAGCTCCTCACCACTGTGCCACAGATGAAAAATAAATGAGCTACTTCATAACTCATGAATAATACTAGACTGAAAAAATTGTTTTAATTAGTTGTATTGAGTTGGATATGCCTGTGGTATTTCTACCTGTTAATGTTTATAAAGATTTCTTAAAAGTTTATAGTAATAATTATTAACTAAATATAATTACCTTTACAGATTTAAGCATGTTTTTGAACTGTTTACCCTCCACTGAAAAACTAAACATACACCAAAGGGAAATAGAAGGGAATGAAGGAATTATGAAAGTACATTCACACATATGACTCTTATGAATAAAAGTTGGAAACAAATTAATAAATTGGGAAGAGTTCTGGGGCTTTTGATAGTTGGTATTTTTAACCTCATAAGGAGCCCTGGTGGCACAGTGGTTAAGTGCCAGGCTGCTAACCAAAAGGTCAGCAATTCAAACCCACCCAGCATCTCGATGGAGAAGGACCTGGCGATCTGCTCCTGTAAAGATTATAGCCTAGGAAACCCTGTGGGGCAGTTTTACTCTGTCACATGGGATCGTTATGAATCAAAATCAACTGGATAGCGTACAACAACAACAGTTTAACTTAATACAAAAAAAAAGCTTTGTAATATTTAAACCCAATATACTTGGAATTTCTTATTTTTCTTGTTATACAACTATTTTATTAAGAGCCCGTCCGTTGAAGATTTAGGTGGTGTTTCCAACAGTTTAAAAAATAGTCAGTTCTACAAACCAGTCAAGCCCATGTGAAGTAACATATGTGAATCAAAACAGTGAAATCTAGCCGTTGGTCTTACCACAAAGTAGTTTTGGTCTGTGTGTGCAGGAAAGCGTTAAGGTTTAACGAAATGGTGAATAGAAGGTTAAGATCTCACCTTTAGATATATTTTAATACGGTATATTTTCGGATGAAAATCTTTAAAGCATCAAAATAATTTTTAAACATTTGAATCAGCATTTTAAAAACTCTCATGAGTCATAATATGTAAATTAAATGTACTTTATGTTGCAAAATTAGAATTTCTTTTAAAAACAGGACAGATTTTCCTTAATTCAATATGTTGGACACTCTCCATTAAATTTAAACAATGAATAACTATTTTTTTATTGAAAATTAGAAAAGATATGCCTTACAATTAACTTCCCCCTGCACTTTTCATGTCTTTAGAGACAAGTACTTGTAGTTTGCAAAATTACTTTGTCTAGTGGATGTGATTATTTGGCAGGCAAAATTGTTCTGGTTAAATTTAGCTTTAATTTTGATAGGATGTTTTCTAACCACTGATTTTCACTTTTTTCTTTGGTTTAAAAATATTTAACAGAACAAATGACTATGAAGTAATCTTCCAGTTGAACAGGCTCTCTATAGACAGATTTCAGTGTTAGGGACTGTGGGGCTACAACTATAGAAAAGACACTGTCTGACAATCAAGGCACTTAGGATTTTATAGGGAGACTAAGTCATGGCATGACCCTCAACTGAGGCAAAATGAGATGTGATAGCCAGAGTCCAGGCTGCTCCTCCAAAGCAGGCTGCTGGGTAATGACACAGAGTAAGTGATGCAGGATGACATCCGTTAGACGCCAGGCTTCTTAGCAACTGGCAGCAGTCCTCCTAACCTCCGGAACTCACAGGAAACTCGCACACCTTTGCTTATCCCTTCTATTGACTTCTTAAATCTCCAGGAGAAGAATTGAGTGTGCCGGACTTTTCAGGAGCATATCATGTAGGGTTTTGCCTGGCAGATCTCCTGCAAAGGGCCAGTCTGTCGTATTGAGACCCATGGCATCAGGCTTTTTAAAGAAGGTTTTTAGAGCAACCTGGTTGTCTTCCGTGCTTAAATAGATTCAGGGAGAGCCTGAAGAGCCCTAATCCCACCTGATTATTCATTCACCAAGTATCTTTTGAATACTGTCTGTGGTGAAATGAGTTCCTTTACGTGGCTTTTGGCCTTAGTTGTTGTTTTTTTTTTTAAAGATATTTTTATTTTCCTTTTCTGTGCTTTTCAGTATTTCACAGCGTTTCTACAGTGAGTACTTTTTTCTTTTGATAAGTTTACACAGCAAATTAGGTTCCTGTTTGACAATTTCCGTACATTGTTCGGTGACATTACTTACATTTATCACAATGTGTTAACATTCTCTTTGTTTTCTGTTTGTTCCTTTCGAGTACTCTAGTTTTCCTGCCCCCTTATCTTCATATATTTGCTTTTGAGTAATTGTTGACCTTTTGGTCTCCTACTGATGGTTTTTAAGTAGGGTACTGATCTTATGGGTAATGTCCTCTATTTTGTGTGCCACTCTGCTATTTCCTAAAAGATGATCTCAGGGGATAGGCTCAGTTCTGGGTTTAAAGAGTATCTCAGGGTGATAGTCTCAGGGAGTCCTCTGTTCTCTACTGTTCCAGTTTTGTCTGTCTTCTTTTTTTTCTTTTTTCTTTTTTTTTAAGAATTTGAGTTCTGCTCCACATTTTTCTCCCACTCTCTGGGATCACCTGTTGTGAGC